CAATCAATCAATCAATCAATCAATCAATCAATCAATCAATCAATCAATCAATCAATCAATCAATCAATCAATCAATCAATCAATCAATCAATCAATCAATCAATCAATCAATCCACCGGCATCAGAGTAGATGCATGGCGGCTGTATCCATGTCCCTCCAGGATGTTCTGTTTTCCGCCAGCACTCTCCAGTCAGTTCTGCTGACCCCAAAACTGCCCAGCACGTTGAAAACCTGGTCCTCCCATCTGCTCCTGAGACGGCCTCTAGGGCGCCTCCAAGTTGGATCTGGAGCTGTGGTGATCAGTTTGATCACTTCCTGGGTGGGTGTAGCTCTGGAGATGTGACCCAGGAGGTTTAGCTGGTGTTTGATGATCCTCTGACTGAGGACACAACCAGTCAGTAAATATATCTCTCACTTGCTCATGACTGCAGTGTTGATACTTGCCAGTAGGTGGCACTGATGGAGCGATAACACAATCCCAAACGTGGCTAATTTTGTATCCCCCCTTGTCCCAAACATGGAAACATAAGCAGGCACACGTGAGAGATATTATCGGTTGTATAAAAGAAAACCCCAATATCCAATGCTCCTCCAATCTGATGAAATTATTGTCTGTAGGTACAGTCATCTTTTCCACACTTCAGCAAGCAGCTAAGCAAACTCAAATGCTGTTTTAACAAAATACATGATTAAGGGTAAATATTTTGCTCCAACACAAAGAAATGTTCTCACCTAGAACTTTTGACCAGACACTCTGGTCTTCTGCAATAGACTGACTCAATAAGACTTGTCACGTGGCTTCTCTGAATTTTTAAGTGACGTCTACTGTTGCCCCATTCTGAATTTTGCCAGAGTTGTATTGAATTTTACCAGGCTCATATGCCGAAAAGGCTTAGTCCTCCATATATTTTATGAATGTGAAATGATCTCTCTTTGTTCCAGGCTAGTGCTGGTGAATGCCATCTACTTTAAGGGAACCTGGCACAAGCAGTTTACGACAAAAGCCACATGGGACGAGGACTTCAACATCAACAATAATGAGAAAGTCAAGGTAGATTACTCGTTCACGTGCTTTCTTTTACCTGTTCTAATAATCATCATTGTACCACACCTGCACTAAAAAAGTTTGCATAAGCACTTTGGCAGAATGTCTAAGGTCGTGTTCTTGTATTTAAGGATGACATCCCATCTATAGTTTTTAGATGTTGTGTTGGAAAAGATAATTAATCTATAAGAGGTAAAATTCTGATGTAACTTTGATCAAATATCCAATGAAAATCTTGAAATATCTGGGTTTTATACAGCCAGGTGCAGTATGTTCTGCTGACATGCTTATCTGACATACATGTGCATGTACATTATGCATGTACATTTGCTCCATAAATTTTTTGTGGAACTGTCGCAAGGGTCTGTGCGGCTGCCATTAGGCGTCACCAGGTGACCTCAATACGACTTTTCCCATCCGAAGTTAGGCACCCATTCACACCTGGCTGGAGTGAGGAAAGTCGTGTAAAGTGCCTTTCCCAAGGCATGTCCCGGGTACAATTTGGGATGGAACCCGGGTCTCACCGTTTCATAGTCGAACGCTCGACCACTATGCCACCCGACGCCATATATAGACCTTTGAACAATGTTTTTGGCGACGTCTCAGGGAGGAGACTAATGGTACAGTATTGTGTGCAATTTACAAGAATTCTAGGAATTGTACAGGCATTTTGTCCACAGGCATGGAATGTCCACAGGCATGTCTTCCAGTTCTGTTTGTTGACATGCCCACATTCCTGGAAACCCTTGGGAGAACCTGTCTGCCGGATGCCCTACATGTACTTTCTGAGACCCCGGGGCTTGTTCACTATACACTCAGGGGAGGATAGGGTACAAGGCTTCCTCAAAATCATGAAATCATGACTGTGCCATGCAAACAATAACCCTAACAGCAACCACCGTCGCCATGGCAATGTATGTTTTCATTGCCAGTCTTGTTATGAGTTTATCATTACCAACATTAACTGATTTGAAATCATGTTGGTCTGTAGGTGCCTATGATGAAGATGGAGGACAAGTTCAACTATGGTAAATTTAAGGACCTGAAGTTCTGTGTCTTGGAGCTTCCTTACGTGGGGAAGGAACTAAGCATGCTCATCTTCCTTCCAGATGAAGGTGAGTTCGAATTTAGTTGTGATGCAGTAGTAGATATATAAGGCCACACCAATTTAATTTCTTGGTTCTCGGATTCGCCTCTTCATTTTTTTCTGATTTGCAAAAAAAAAAGATTCTGGTTCTGAATCAACTAAAAATGCTCATATCCCCCCCCCCAACAGTTGAGGAAAGTCCTTTTCTTCCTAGATATTAAAGTTTTTTCCATCTATCAATGTAGTGGTTTGATTAAAAGTTCAAAATTCATTGTTTAAATATTAACCCAGCCTTTTGTGTTGACCTTATGACTCCTATCAAAGCATTTGGGGCTATATATAATAGGATCCCTAGACCTGTTTTTAATTTTTTTTTTGCCCTGTCGCTTCAATTTGTTTTTAGATCAGAGAACCAACGAATTAAATTGGTGTAGCCTAAACTCTTTAGACACCTCTTAGCAAACCTATAGTATACTACAGTTTAGACAACTAGAAACAGGGGGCCTGCATGTCTTGTACACACGATTTACATTTTTTTGCAGACCACTCAATTACATGTATAAACACAAGGAAAGGAAGATCAACAAATGTCTTTGCTTCCAAGGTATTCTTACATCAGCTGAGACTGCATAACAACTGTAACAATACTTGTGTATAGTAACGGTAACTGTAACAGTACTGTAGTATACTGCTTGGATGCTAATACAGTAATTACCTTCATTATAGTTACTTTATATTCATGAAATATGCAATTCAGCATCATAACAGTATCAAAACATTATGAGCAAGTTTTCCACAATTTACATTTTTACAGATCTCAAATTGTTCACTAGAAAACTATATTTTGCGAGTCATGTGTACATGCCTTTCATCTTTACAGTGGAGGGTATCAGGGACCTTGAGTCAGCCCTGACAGCAACGATCTTGCAGACTGTCAGCAGCCAGATGAAAAAGAGGATGATTAGAGTGAGGCTGCCCCGCTTCAAACTGGAGCAGGACTTTTCACTGGGTAAGTCATGGAAACAAACATGATTCTATGGCCAACTGGGACCAAAATTATCACACACTGTAAAAATAACTTCTTGTTCATGGTGCTGTATAATGCTTAAAAACAGGACCTGTCCATGGTGCTAACTATAACACTCAGAAGCGGCCTGTCCACGGTGCTAAGTATTACAATCAGAGACAGGGAATGTAAATGGTGCTAAATAGAAAAATCAGAAACAGAGCCTGTCCATGGTGCAATAGAACAATCAGAAACAGAGCCTGTCCGTGGTGCTAAGTAGAACAATCATAAACAGAGCCTGTCCGTGGTGCTAAGTAGAACACTTGAAAACAGGGCCTGTCCATGGTGCTAAGTAGAACACTTGAAAACAGGGCCTGTCCATGGTGCTAGGTAAAACACTCAGAAACAGGGCCTGTCCATGGTGCTAGGTAAAACACTCAGAAACAGGGCCTGTCCATGGTGCTAGGTAAAACACTCAGAAACAGGGCCTGTCCATGGTGCTAGGTAAAACACTCAGAAACAGGGCCTGTCAATGGTGCTAGGTAGAAAAATTCATGTCCACAGTGCAAATCCCTAGTTCTCTCTGAGGATGCTAGCATGCTAGAACAAGGACGATACTATAGATATCTTAAGTTTTCTCTCAATTGTCAATAATGCAGGTAACACCCTTAAGAAGATGGGCATGGGAGAGGCTTTTGGCGACGGAGCAGATTTCTCTGGCATGTCGGCCGCTGCGGATCTCTTTATCTCTGAGGTGGTGCACAAGGCTTTTGTGGAGGTGAACGAAGAAGGAACACAGGCCGCTGCCGGCTCAGGTACTGTTACGGTATTATCGGTGCACACACCAATTCTTCCGCGACAGGGGTCCAAGGTAGTGCTCGGAAAAAAAGTGACGAAGGGGTTCCGGTGGTTCATGTTTGAGTTTACATTTCTCATAATCTGCTGCAAATTGGTATTAACTACTAACATGGCTGGAAAGTGTAAGAAGTGGCGTGTTTTGGGTGAAAATTGATTTCGGGCCCGAGGCTTACTTCCGGGTGTCCTTCCGCCTTCAGCGAGGTGCCTAGATATGCGTTGTATGCGTTCTGGGGATGCTGTCGCTATGCCTCGCGCGGCGGGCTATTGTGATAATCTCAGTGTTAGGATTTTCTTTATCCTTTTCTTAATAATACATAAGGGTTTTCTCTTTCCGACCATATAAGTCATATTGGTGGCTAAATTCTGGGTGATGGGTATAATTCCACGAGAAAATGGCCAATTTTTGGCATCATTTTTCATCGAAAAATTCTTTTCCCCCCTAAAATTTACAAAAATGTGAGAGGTGAAAGAAATGAAATTCTATTGTTCTCGTAGCTAGCTATATAGAGCGATATCCTTCATTTGCAAAGTGTTTTGGCTCAAGAGGTATTTCCTGAAAGAGACGGTCGCTAGAGTTGAGGGTATGCAGAATCGAATTAAGACCCAAAATAAACTGGGGTGTGCCCCCTTATAGCACATCGGCAGAATGTACTGCACCACGTTTTTGTTGGATGTTTGGTCAACATTTTGCAGATAATATCTTTTCTGACAAAACAGTTAAAGACTATAGATGGGGTGTCATCCTTAAATGTGCCAGTACGACCTTAAATGAGACGTTCTGCCAAATTATGAGTTTTGCGCAGCACGTTCTCCTGAGCTGACAAGCTTGATTTATTCTTGTTATCATCGTAAGGATGCTGTGTGAAAGAAGGGAAAGAAAGGAATGGCCGAAAGAAGGGAAGAAATAAAGACACAAGACAATAAGCAAATACCAAGAAGACAAAAGGCACAGTACTGTTACCCAGATTTAGCTGTCTCAGAGCAGTTGTCACAGTTGCACTAGCATAGCATTAAGAATAGGTTGCCTGGTCATCTACTCATTGGAGATGCAAATATATGGAAAATCTACAAACCCAGTGCCATGAGTTCCTTTTAATTTGTGCTCAGAGTAACCTTACAACAACAGCAACAGCATGTTTCTCGTGGTTTTTCAAATGCTCAGTAGTGTAACTAAAGGAAAGCTGTGCCGCATGCATTCATACCTGCCCGGTGATGCAAAGACCATCTTGGTTCCATCTTGGCTTGTGTAGTGCCTCCATTGCAGTTTATCATGGACCACCTTTTTTTTGTTTCTGATCCAACCAATGCAATTCTTTTGACGTCATGTACTTTTCAATTCGAGGATTGAGAGCATTTTGAGAAATGTTTCTCAGCTGCAGATGCTTTCTTGATTCTCGTCTTTTGTCTCGTTTGCCTTAAGTTTACCTTTTCTCCTTCTTTTTTATAACCCTACTTCAGAATTTGAAGAATGGCTAAAATGCTACATATGAATCTAATAGGTGGTCTTGGGTAATGTATATTATATAGCGACATGCAAAAACCACATGACAGAATGAAAGTTCATTTGTGATCACAATTGACATTATGAAGAGTTTTATACCTATTTTACCCTATTTCTGTAAACATAGTAAAGAGCTTACCAACGAGGTTTACATCAGTCCTTCTCAAGTTGGAATCAGCCAGTCTTGAAACTTAAGCCATGTGACCTGACTATATGTAATGACTGTATGAAGGAGACACCAGGACTAGTCTGAACTTACCTATTTTGATTTGTGTGTGGTTTCAGGGGTCATCATGGTGACATTGTCTGCACCTCTCTTCCCACCTCCAGAGTTCATAGTCGATGTCCCCTTCCTATTCCTGATCAGTTCAGTCCAACTCTGTGCTTTTCTGTGGACGTCTATCCCGCCCCTGAGCTTAGACTAAAGCTCAGGTCTTTTACATCTTTAAGTAGTTACATCTTTAAGCATGTCTGCTTCGTGCAATCATTAACGCAAACTCGCTGGTATATTTATCAGCCATATTATTTATCTATTTATTAAGATTTCCCACGATTCTATGAAAGGATTGACATAACAGGTGACTATCACCTCTTCAAAGATGTCAAACCTGAGACCAGACACTTAGGCAAACACTCTACCGTTACGCCACACGACCCCACGAATTTTGGTCAAATTTGTTGGAGGGTGGCTTATAAGATAGTCCGATCATGTTAGATTGCCTTACTTTGAGGTACATTTTATGAGAAAATTTGCACAGGGTCCTTAGATATTGATATGTATAGTCACCCTAGACACTAATAACATGTAGATGCACAAGGTAGTGCTTGCGCGCGCTTGTGTGTGTGTGTGTGTGTATGGGTGTATGTGTAACATATATCAACCAATATCATTCAAGAAGCTTTTAATGGTTTGTTACTATTTGCTAGAATTGCAGCTTCAATCTCATACAGGGGAAACTGCATTGTACGCTTACTTTAAAGGGATATGGGGCACATGAGGGATAATGAGGGATAATGAAGAAATTTTTGCAGCACCCAGATTTAGAGCGAACTAATTGTGCAACAATGAAAGATTTTGCAATAAAGCCATAATTTCCCATTAGAAGTGATTTATTATCATTATTTGGTGTGAATCTTCCTAAAAGCCTGTGCAACAAGCGACGGCGTGTTTGATTCCAGGTGTGAGGATGATGAAAAGATCGCTGCCACGCCCTCCAACACCGTTCTTCGCTGACCATCCCTTCATCTTTCTCATCAGAGACAACCGCTACAGCTCTGTCCTCTTCCTCGGCAAAATGCAAAAACCGCTTTGATGCTACACTTAATGATTAATTTTGAAGAATTCTTAAGTAATTTGCAATTCCCATGATGTCCAAACCCAATCAAATCAAGTGCTTCAGTTTAAAATAAAGAATCAGTACCTTATTCAGCACTTTTATTTATTGACTCGTTATTTTCTAAAAACTTGTAGAAATACTGATATGTTTGGTTGCAGGTATGATGATGATGACAAGATATATGCCACGCCCTCCAACGCCGTTCTTCGCTGACCATCCCTTTATCTTTCTCATCAGAGACAACCGCTCAAACTCTGTCCTCTTCCTCGGCAAAATGCAGAAGCCACTGTGATTCAGAAATTCAATCGATTCTGAAAAATTCTGAAGCAATTTGCAACTTCCACGATGCACAAACTGTATGAAATCAAATACATAATAAAGAATCAGAACCTTTAGTACTAGTTTTTGAGCTTAAGCCTTTATTTTAATAGAAAAACACTGAGTGATACATTTGGTTGCAGGTTTGACGGTTTATAGTATGGATTCTGGGGAGCCGAAGTCGTTCATCGCTGACCATCCCTTCATCTTTCTCATCAGAGACAATCGCTCCAACTCTGTCCTCTTCTTCGGCAAACTGCAGAAGCCACTGTGAAGTTGATTCAAGAGTTCTGTCAAATGCTCTTATAACACCCAAAACCAAGTTAGATGACGTTGCTTTAAAGAAGTACAGTCAAACTCATACAAGTGACTGTCTGGACAATATTATCACTTTTTGGTCAGGCCAACTAGATAATTTTCCATTGACACAAGCATCAAGTGACTACAGTCTACAGTGATACATACAATACAGTGACCCCCTGTCCACGTAGACAATTGTATTGCTTCCCAGGGTGGTCTTCTTGGTGAGGTTTGACATTGTAGGTCTGGAGTGGTTTTTATAAGGGAGAAGCTTAATAGCTTTAAGAACTGTGCAGAAAAATGAAACAAGGATACATTTGGTTTCTGGTGTAGTGATGCTTGGATGTTCGATGCCTGCACCTGCTACTTGGTTCATCGTCAACAGTCCCTTCATGTTTTTCATCAGAGACAACCCCACCAACTCTTTCCTCTTTTGTGGCAAATTGCAGGAGCCACTTTGATTTGCAGCAAGAATCAAAAGATCAAATCCATTCAATCTTCATCAAATCAACACAGAAGTCACAGACTTAAATTTGCAGCAAGAATCAAGAGGAAAAAATGTGTATTTGAGATTGTCATCCAAATTTTGTCGTGCCTGATTCCAATCGCAATATATTTTAATTTGCAACGAATCATTAGTTCATGTTTTTGCCATTGAATAATTGATAGTTGTTATCAAAGATTTTGAATGTTGAGTGGTGATTTCATTGAGGAGTATTCTAAAGATTATTAAAAATTAACACTTGACACTTATCATTAATAAAGATAAATCTATTGATGCAATATTAAGAATATCATTTCATGTTTAGTGTTACAATTATGATATCTATCAAAGTAATGTTAAATTGATTAATATACAATTAACCAAATGCAGTCTTGCTGTTATGAAATGATGTATGCTTTATTCTAGTTAGAGACATGAACACAAAGAGTGGTACATGAGTCTTAGAATTCTGGAATAAATCTTTGATGAAAATCTTAGAATGGTGTGATTTTTTATTCCAATTTTCACCACTTCTTGTAATATAAGTACATCATTGACATGGGAGATTCTCAAGTTGGAATGCTTCTAAGACACTTCGGCACCTGGACACTTCGGCACCTGGACACTTCGGCACCTGGACACTTCGGCACCTGTACACTTCGGCACCTGGACAGTGTGACACCTGGACAGTTCGGCACCAAGCCCAGGACGGTTCGGCACTACGACAACAGAATGCTGCTGTTGGTTGCCTAAAACTAGCCGGGCCGTTTTATAAATGCCAGCGAAAAGGGCTCTTGAAATACACCATGAATACAGTTTTATGACATTAAACTTACGATGCTTGTAATGCGTTTGGTCTAGAGTAACTCTACATCATGTAGTTACATGTACAACCTGAGTTGGTAACCTTGTTCCTATTCCAGAATCTTTAACCTCCCCCTGCTAATGCTTCGGTCCCAAATTGAAAAAAGGGGCCCTGCCGGATAGTTCCGGGGCTGTTTTATGGCACTTTCGGGCGTAACCCCTACGTGGCCCCCTGCGGCTACCGGGCTATTTTTGGGCCCGGCGGGGACCCGAGAAGAAGTTTTTTCTATTTTTTTTTATTCCAACATGTAATCACCAGACGTGGTGAGGACACACTCAAGGTTTTTTCAACTTAGGCTACACCAAGTAAATTTTATGGATGACGTCCGCGCGCGCATTGATTTTGGCCTGTTCCTAGAAAAAAAGAAGAAATTCCGCTTCCTGTAACTACGACCAAAGAGTCACGACAGTGCCGCAAATCGTCAGATTGATGTGAAACCCGTAACGCCGAAAGCCTGTGCCTGGTTAAAAAATGAAAACAAAAATGAAAAAAACAAAAAATGGCACTGAAAAAAATCCTGTCAATAGTTCCAAAACAGTGCCATTTTTGGAACTATTAACAGACAGGACGGTCCTGTCAGCAGTGCAATATTTCTTGTTTTTTAGGGCCCTTCTTGTTTTTTTTTCGCCCTCTCGCATTAGATTTAGGGTCTCCAAAGGACGTCATCCATAAAATTTACTTGGTGTGGCCTTATATTAATGCCGCCACCAACACATGGGACAAATACAGGACAGAACAATACTCATTTACACCTGAGCTAAGTGAGGAAAGTCATGTAAAGTGCCTTTCCCAAGGGCACAAGATCGGTGGCATGGCAGGACTCGAACCCGGGATTCTTACTTCCGAGTCGCGCACTCTACCGCTACGCCACACGACCCCACCGAAGTTTATTCTGAATTAAATTCTACCCGGGCCCCGCTGACAAACAGACGCCGTGACCTCACCGTGAGAACTCCGAGAGGTACCCCTCCGGTTGCCGGCAGTCCACCGGGACATATTTGTTACGTCACAGACCAGATGAACAGAATAAAGGTGTGTACTTCGTAAACCTGGGTAAAATGTGTGACGTCACAGATCAAATAATCACAACAAAAGCGTGAATTCTGCATTACGTATAGGTCAGTACAAGACATCGTCAGAGAATCTGCCGGGTACCTGCCGGGTGCCTTCCGGAGACAGACCAAAGAGGGTGACAAAATTTGTAACAAAATGCCACTGAAGGAAACTTTAATTGTGACCGCGACAGCCGAAGCCCGCCCGACTCCTGAGCCCACAGGGAAGCAAGTTTTTTTTACGTGCTCAAGGAGATTTAATGTAAACCTCCTAGGTTTGCACAGTTTGAACCTTAGCTATAAATAGCTTTGTTTACGTGCTGCATATCTAATACAAGGGCACATTTAAGCTTTCCTCTGCCAAGGGTGTTCCATGGGGACAAGAAAAGCTAGCACGTGGGCAGAATGTACTGCGCTTGCGCAAAACCCCCAATTTCACGGTTTTCGTTGGATGTTTGGTCAACGTTGCCTCAGAATTTTGCCTGTTGCAGACAATATTTTTTTCTGACATAACATTTGGAAAGTACAGTCAGGATGTTAACCTTATATGTGCAAATATGACCTTATGTGTGCAAATATGACCTTATATGAAGTGTTCTGCAGAAGTGCTATTCACCAATTTCACACTTCCCATAATGCCTAGTAACGGTCACGGATATGCAGGGATATGACGTAAGACCCCCCCCCCCTTCCTCGATGTAATATTTCCAACAAATTCTATCGACAAACTGGTCAACTATTGTTTTGAATTATTTATCTAGTATAAAGCGCATGCCATAATTGCATTTTGGTTGGAATTAGAGAAAATGACGTACCTTCTATCGTTCTACTATACCGAAGACTGACTCCTACTCGCACGGTCGTCTTCGGTAGAAGGTGGAATGATAGAAGGTACGTCATTTTTCCAAGGTTGTATTTATTTATTCAACTTCAATTGATTCCACAGATCACCAGAGCTTTTAGGCTGAGATTTCAATTTTTATCCGCTTGAACATGAACCGTGAACAGTGTAGACTCTATATCATATATGGTTAAAACTATCAATCCAGTTTAGGGCTGTTTCATTCATACTGGATTTTAGACAGGTTTAACATTTGACGTCAATTAATTCTATGTACCACCAGTGATTTTATTATTTTTTTTACCTTTGTGTTCTTCAAATTTTTATATTTGTCGCGGTATTTTACAACGAATTGTGTGATTTTATATGTTTATTTTAGACATTTTTAGCTATGTCCCCTACTTTCCTACATGGTCCGTCCCTACCAGCCCTCTCTGTCCACTTCCCGGTTCAATGACCTCTACAGGTTACGTAACTCCAATATTGACCAATAGCAAGCCGAGTTGGCTCATTTGCGTACCATCCAGAACGAACCGGGTGGGGACAGAATGGAAATGTACACGGGCCTAGAAGAAAAGGCTAATAATCGGGAATAATTTGAGACTGAAAAAAGGAATTAGTAGTCACCAACCTGTTTTAGGTCACGACAAATATATGTATTGACAAGTTAATCAACCTTCTAGATTGTCGATTTAGTTAATTTGAATAATATGAAGAGTCTCAAAAAAGGCTAGGGTCGAACGTTTTTCCTAGGGTCTGTCGGGAAACAGGAAATATTCCTAGGTCCCCTTGCCGTGACGTCATGGCAAACAGTGGTATAAATGGCTCTGATGCTTTCAATCTACGAATGACGATCCTATAAAATAAAATAAAATAAAATAAAATAAAATAAAATAAAATAAAATAAAATAAAATAAAATAAAATAAAATAAAATAAAATAAAATAAAATAAAATAAAATAAAATAAAATAAAATAAAATAAAATAAAATAAAATACCACATAGTAGCTGACAAGAAAGCTCCATGAGTTTTCATACGATTTCAAAGATTAATATTCATTATCGATGTTTAATATTCAAACGGCTAGCTTCAGACAATCAACTCGTCCAGATTAAGAAAGACTTATTTATCCAAGCTTGTCAGTCGGACTCTAGCTACACAACGCTCACATTCCGAGTGGCACAGCTGCAGAAAGAAGACGGAGAAAAGACTTCAACAAAGCCGAGAAACTAATTCAAGAGAAGATATTTTGACTGGTTTGAAAGGTAAGTTTTGAAAGCTGAACCTTTCAGGTAAGACTTGTTTATGTACATTTTATTTCATGTACATAAACGGGAGCGGGGAGATTGGAATAGCAGATAAATAACTAGAAGAAACATTACATGTCATGCATAATTTCTATTGGGTGTAGATGTAGTAAAAAGCTGTTACTACATGTAAATCTAAACAGAAGAAAACACTATTTTAACAATATTTCCTAAGAGCAAAGAATACTATGACATCCGGCCATACACTCAGCACAATATTTCTGATGAATTTCAAAATTTATGAACTAGAATGTCAAAGAACTCGATGTATTTATGCAAGATGGCCAAATTATGCCTTTTCTTTCTCCAACCTTGAAATATGAAATGTGTCTTAACAATGGACACGTCAGCAAAAGGCACCAGATCAGGGAGTAAACAACATGTTAAACATTAATATTCAAACAGTCCGAATCAGACAATTAACCAACCATCTCCAGTGACACCCACTGTAGGTGTAAGTTCCATTACACGTCACTAGCATAGCCTCCATAGCATGCCAAACACTAGTGGTTTGGGGGTCTTAATGGTCTTTGGGGGCTTTTATGTGCTATTTTCTGATTGCATATAGGAACATAGCCGGCCTGATTGAATTACTCCCGTTTTTTTGGGCTGATCAGAAAACATCCGAAGGCCACCAAACTCCCAGTTCTATAAGCCTGCTACGGAGGCTATCACTAGCACTCCTTTCGTAGTTGTTCGTACAGAAACCTGCAGGTTAGTTCTCTACCCTTTCCAGTTTATCTTTGTCTTTCCTTTTATATGATTCTTTATTGACTCAAGAAAAAGTAAAGGAACTTTTGTTAGGTCGTCCACAACTAAGGACCATACTGTCTAGCCTCCTTCGCAGTCTTGTTGGGCGTCGGCGTTATTTTTCTCTGAGCGACGCGAGTAACATGCCGCCGCGAGGGACGATTTGCTGCCGAGGGAGTTTTTGCCACGGAGAGGTTTCGAGCGAAACCTTCTCTCCGTCATGGCATATTCTAGGTTTGGTCATACAAGAAACGCATGTGTGAGTTATAAAGGCATAGGAGGCAAGAACAGCCTATAACCTACGCTTTTTCTGCTTATTTCAAAGCCTACAATGTATAAAAAATGCCTTACGAATTGGCACGTCAGCACAAGGCACCGGATCAAAGAGTAAACAACCTTCGGAATGTTAATATTCAAACAGTCTGAATCAAACAATCAACTAACCATATTTTAGTGACACTTAAAGTAATATGGATGAGGGATTTTTAACAATGTTTCTTTATTGTCACTGGAGATAATGTGCAATTATATAGTTTAAGTATATGATTATATTTTATTACAAATGCACGTCTAAGAAAAAATGTTAAAATTGAGTGTAAGTATTATATAGGTCATACTTGTTTTGGCTAGTGATAGCCTGCTACGGAGGCTATCACTAGCACTCCTTTCGTAGTTGTTCGTACAGAAACCTGCAGGTTGGTTCTCTACCCTTTCCAGTTTATCTTTGTCTTTCCTTTTATATGATTCTTTATTGACTCAAGAAAAAGTAAAGGAACTGTTGTTAGGTCGTCCACAACTAAGGACCATACTGTCTAGCCTCCTTCGCAGTCTTGTTGGGTGTCGGCGTTATTTTTTCTCTGAGCGACGCGAGTAATATGCCGCCGCGAGGGACGATTTGCTGCCGAGGGAGTTTTTGCCACGGAGAGGTTTCGAGCGAAACCTTCTCTCCGTCATGGCATATTCTAGGTTTGGTCGTACAAGAAACGCATGTGTGAGTTATAAAGGCATAGGAGGCAAAAACAGCCTATAACCTACGCTTTTTCTTCTTATTTCAAAGCCTACAATGTAAAAAAAAATATCTTACGAATTGACACGTCAGCACAAGGCACCGGATCAAAGAGTAAACAACCTTCGGAATGTTAATATTCAAACAGTCTGAATCAGACAATCAATCAACCATATTTTAGTGACACTTAAAAGTAATATGGATGAGGGATTTTTTACAATGTTTCTTTATTGTCACTGGAGATAATGTGCAATTATATAGTTTAAGTATATGATAATATTTTATTAGAAATGCACGTCTAAGAAAAAATGTTAAAATTGAGTGTAAGTATTATATAGGTCATACTTGTTTTGGCTAGTGATAGCCTGCTACGGAGGCTATCACTAGCACTCATTTCGTAGTTGTTCGTACAGAAACCTGCAGGTTGGTTCTCTACCCTTTCCAGTTTATCTTTGTCTTTCCTTTTATGTGATTCTTTATTGACTCAAGAAAAAGTACAGGAACTGTTGTTAGGTCGGCCACAACTAAGGACCATACTGTCCTGGCATATTGTAGGTTTGGTCTTACAAGAAACGCATGTGTGAGTTATAAAGGCATAGGAGGCAAGAACAGCCCATAACCTACGCTTTTTCTTCTTATTTCAAAGCTTACAATGTAAAAAGTGTCTTACGAAGTGACACGTCAGCAAAAGGCACCGGATCAAAGAGTAAACAACCTTCGGAATGTTAATATTCAAACAGTCTGAATCAGACAATCAATCAACCATATTTTAGTGACACTTAAAAGTAATATGGATGAGGGATTTTTTACAATGTTTCTTTATTGTCACTGGAGATAATGTGCAATTATATAGTTTAAGTATATGATAATATTTTATTAGAAATGCACGTCTAAGAAAAAAATGTTAAAATTGTGTGTAAGTATAGTATATAGAGCCCCATACTTGTTTTATCACACTTTATGAGTAACTTGAAACTTGATAAAAACTTGAAATGCAGATAGTCAGACTCTGACTGACTTAAAACTGTCACAAGGTATTAAGGGACGATGAATGAGACAAACCGGATTCTTGTTAACATTTTCCACACTTTCGTAGGAGAGTTCTAAGAAAAGACAAACATGGCGGTCTGTTACTACAGCATTCTTTCCCATTGCTAGGCGCGTTCGAAAATGTATCAGGTTACAAGACGCTATTTTGGCCTGTTTTGGACTACCCGTAAAACATAAACAAATAGTATCTAGTGGTGAATTTCGTCAAATTGAAATGAAATTATCGTCTTAACATCCTTTTAATGTTAGCTTTTTATGTTAAATCACTGATCTTTTTAAATTTCGCCCAGAAAGACGATTATTTTCAGGTTTCCGAGCACAAGTCATGTCATGTTTTAAGGCAAACATCGTTCAAACCTGGCAACGTGTATTACCCCAGATCCCCGATTTTTGTATTTTTTCGACGACTAGGAATAAGATAAAAATCATGTATTAGGAATTTTTTAATTTCTGATTCTAAGTGTAGTTTTTGCCGAAATATCGGTGAAAAAATTGCATTTTTTACATTTTTCTCATTAAATTACCCATAATTCAAAATTGAGGTAATTTTTTTTAAAATCCCCAAAACAAGATTTTCGGGACAACCGAACAGTCATTTTGAGCCGTAATGTTTGACTCTTCATGATTCCAGGTTTGAACGAGTTTTACAGACATGCCATATCACCCGAAAGTGTACATTGTTTTATTCATACAGGTGTAAAGAATCATTTCAGTATTCAAGGTCAACCGACAGTAGCTTCGCTACATGTTACATGTTCACAAAAAAATGATAGCGGACACGTACTGTCCTGGAAACTATTTGTATCTTTAGAAAAGTGTTGTTTTTTTATCTGTTGCGAGACACTCATGCAGAAGGGCTTTTTGACCGCTTTATTGCAAATGACCGCAGGAGACCCCGAAATGGAACGCGGGTTCGATTCGAATTGCCCAGATCGAACACGATCGAACACGAACACAGTTCGGATTCTATGAAATGTGGGAACTTTGCAGCCCAGATTTTACCACCGTGAAATTGGACAGAAAATGACATTGCGTCCCAGCTTGCAACTTTGCAACTTAACCCTATCTAGACCGGGGGATGTCACCTATCGACTAGCGCTAGAACGGCCAAACTTGGTGACTTTCCTAGAATATTGATTCTTTCACCTGTCTAGTTTTCCTTCTTTTTTATTTACTTATACACCCAATTGAAACCGATCATGCCTTTCTGATTGTCTGAGTGTGTTCCTGGTCTCTGATTCCCCCTTTTAAATCCCTGCTACTTGTTCTGTACAGATTGCGGGACGACATGGGAAGAAAGCTGCGACATCTGCTGATTTTGCTTCTTATCATCCTGGAGGAGCCCAATATGCCAGAAGGTGGCTACTTCTGTGCACCATCATTACACAGCAAATGCCCCAATATGCCTTTTCAGTACATGCCTAAAAGATTTTTGGACGAGTTAAATCTAAATGATAAGCAGATTCAGGCTGGTGCACTCTCAAATCTACCCATGCTTGCCAATTTGTACCTGAAGTCCAACAACATTACCAGCATTCAGGCTAATACATTTTCCCGTCAAACAAGGCTTCAGGTTTTGGACCTGAATTCAAACAGCATAAACAGCATTCAGGTTGATACATTCTCAAAACTAAGACAGCTTTCCAGGTTGAATCTTGCCTCCAACCAAATAACCAACATACGTATTGGCACATTCTCAAATCTACCAAAAATTTCACATTTGTACCTGAACTACAACAAGATAACCAGCATTCAGGCTGGTACACTTTCAAAATTACCCAAGCTTTCAATGTTGTATCTGAACTCAAACAACATTAAAAGCATTCAGGTTGGCACATTCTCAAATCTACCCAAGCTTTCACATTTGTACCTGAACTCCAACAAGATAACCAGCATTCAGGCTGGTACATTTTCCAAATTACCCTGGCTGGGGTTTTTGAACCTGGACTCAAACAATATAAATAGCATTCAGGATGGCACTTTCTCAAATCTACCAAGGCTCACGAGTTTGCACCTGAACTCAAACAACCTAACCAGCATTCATGTTGGTACATTCTCAAATCTGCGCCAGCTTCGCTCATTATACCTTGCCTCCAACCAAATATCACGTATTCAGGTTGGTACATTTTCACATCTACCCAAGATCCAGTTTGTGTGTCTTGCTTCGAATCAAATATCCAGTATTCCGGTTGGTGCGTTTACGAACGTACCAAGGCTATTTATGTTGTTCCTGAATTCCAACAACATCACCAGCATTCAGGTTCGCACATTCTTAAATCTACCAAACGTCCAGATTTTGGTCCTGAACTCCAACAAAATAACCAGCATTCAGGCTGGTGCAATCTCAAATATACCCTATCTCGTCCGGTTGGTTCTTTCATTCAACCAAATATCCAGCGTTCAGGTTGGCACATTCTCAAATACATCCCATCTCGACTGTTTGAACCTTACCGCTAATCAAATATCCAGCATTCAGGTTGGGGCATTCTCAAATCTACCAAACCTTGCACGATTGTACTTGGACTCCAACAACATAACAAGTATCCATGTGGGTACATTCTCGAATCTTCCCCAGCTCTTCGTTTTGAATCTTGCTTCCAACCAAATATCCAGCATTCAAGTTGGCGGATTCTCAAATCTACCCAAGCTCGAACTTTTGTACCTGAACTCCAACAACATAATCAGCATTCAGGTTGGCACATTCTCACATCTACATTGCCTTAAAAGTTTACACATCAATTCAAACAATCTAAGTAACATCCAGTCTGGTACGTTTTCAAATCTTACCCTTCTCCAAAATTTGTACCTGCAGTCAAACCAGCTAACTGTCCTTCCCATGTCAGCCAATGACATCTTGGTATCCATTCCTGGGTTGTGCATTGACAACAATCCCTGGCAGTGTGACTGTAACATTGCTCCCTTCTGGCAAACAATGATTAAATTTCCCAAAGTTCTAAAACAGATAACATGTACCCAACCTGCCAACCTCTCAGGTCGAAAACTGAAAGATGTCAATCCAAAAGATCTGATCTGTAAAGACCCAACGAAATCAAAACCAAACTGTAATAATGTCACTACCACTTCTCACTATCACTGGTACTTCAATCACAATGCTGATTTAACAGTTGACACTAAATTGCAGGAGTCAACAACTTCAACTTTTGCACCAACCGGTACTTCCCTTGACTCTGGTTCCAGTTTCCCCCGAATACTGGTTGTCAAAAGAGCTGTTGTTGGTTCAATGGTATCTCTCAGTGTTGCTATCGTTTTCGTTTTCACAATCTGGCACAGAAGGAGGTGGCCAGGGGTCAATTCTGAGTCAGGTTCAAACTCAAAACCTGCTTTGCACAACACAAACCCCAAAGCTATTGTAAATCACAACATCGATGTGGGCATCACAAACACCACAGGTGTTGAAGCAACTAGTGGTCCTGAACGCCAAAGTGAAGATATAAACCAACATGATCAGCCAGGGCAGGGTCAGTCTCAGGCCATTACCGAATCCTCAACAATAACTACTACTGCTGTTGTATCAGCGAGCGGCCATGATCCCCAGTATGACCATTTGAACCATCATAATCAGACAGCTGGGCAGTCCCAGTCTCAGGCCTTCTGTGATGGCGATGGTGTGTGTGCTCATGGACGGATAGAGTTTCAGGCTAATACTGAATCCTTGGTCACTAAAAGTCCACTATATAACACAGAGCCGAATGTCTTAAACTCAAATCTGTATACTCACAACGTTGAGGGCCAGTATCAGACCCTCATTAAATCCAACACAAACACCACTGCTGTAATGGCCAGTGGTGATGATCAGACAGGGCAGGGGGGTCAGTCTCAGGCCATCGCTGAATCCAACACAAACACAACAGCTACTATAATGGCCAGTGGTCATGATCAGACAGGGCAGGGTCAGTCTCAGGCCATCGCTGAATCCAACACAAACACCACAGCTACTGTAGTTACCAGTGGTCATGATCAGACAGAGCAGGGTCAGTCTCAGGCTATCATTGAATCCTTGAATGCACCACGTTCCGCGTTACTAGCTGCCCTACGACCAAATCCTATGTATGAAGGTTTAAAAATACCACCGAAGCACCCAACATCTACATAGCCAGTAGTAACGATCAGACAAGACAGGACCAGTCACAGGCTATTCACTAAATCCTTTCATGTCAGATATCTATCAACTACCACATGGCTGGCCGCCATGCAGTCTTACGTATAAGTACTTATATGACGACTTGAGCCCACCGCCACCCAAACCCTACTAATTCAGCTTGAAGGCAATCCTTTTAAATGATTAGGCTATTGGGCCAACCAACAAAGACAAAGATGTTGTCTTAAAGATGGGTTTCTCTCACCCCCTTCTTTTTGCAAGGGACCTGTATCTGTATAACCCTTTTTCTGTAAGCCAACACGGACTTAATTTAATGGATGAATTTTTTTAGAACCTACTGTACAGGCCTTGTGTGGTACAAAATGACCACTGCCATATACCGACAGGTGAGAGAATGTGAGAAGGACCTTTTACCTAAAAAGCATGAGTAACCTAACCACTAACAATCCAAGTTGCTCGTTGCACAAAATGTAATAATTACAAATGAGATCACATTCTAAAAGCTCCTAAGGAGGCTTTTTGATAATAGCGAGACACAATCATTAAGGCTACAGCAAGTAAACTTTATGGATGACATCCTCCATGAGACTCCAAATCTAATGCGAGTGGGCGAGAAAAAACAAGACGGGCCGAAAAAAACAAGGTTCCTACATTTTGAAATTTTGACTCAATCATTGTACAAATAGTTTTCAATCAGTGAGAACATCACATATACACATTCAGCATCACAGATCACTGCATCAAAGTAAGAAACAAAACATTAAATCGGAGCCTTTTCTTGTCTCCTCTCTTCATAGTTATCTGCCATCCACCTTCCGGCATGGCAACGGACATATTTGCCCATTTTCGGCATGCTTACGATTGTCAGATGGCAACAATTTTTTTTCCAAAATCAGGCATAAATGAATGTGCGCGATGATGTCCTCCATAAGAATTACTTGCTGTGGCCTAAACCAAAAGACATGCAATCAAAAGAACACGTAATAAACAAGCGTGATGTTCAACCAATGAATCATACAGCAAATGACGTGCCTCTGTAAATGGTAAAGTAATGACAGATGTGATGAACCAAATGTTTTTTGAACTTTTTTGAACGTTTTGTTTGATTAGTTGTGTTGTATTGTACAGAGTAGAGATCATCATCGGTAGTAATATAAGAGATAGTACATGAAACAATATAATTTCATTACAACTTAGTCCACACCAATTTAATGTGTTGTTTCTCGGATTTTTTCAGAAAAAATATGAAGCGACAGGGCAAAAAAAACAGGCAAAGTCACCCCATGATAGCCGAAAATGTTACAATATGACCCATGAAGTAAACATACCAGGCTGGTTTATAATTAAAACAATGTATTTTGAACTTTTAATGAAACAAAATTGCATGGTTACATTGAAAAACTTCATGAACTAAGAAGAAAATGACTTTCTTCAACCGTTCGGGCCAAAATAATCTTCATTGAGCATTTTGCAGTTAATTTCGGACAAAAAAGATTTCTTTTTTGCAACTCAGAAGAAAATGAAAAGGGCGATCTGAGAGGCAACGAATTAAATTGGTGTGGCCTAATGATGTACATGTTGTACTGAAAACACACTCATGTGACATATATAGGGAAATGGCTAGAATGGATTAATGTACTCAGATACTTTTATTGTTATATTTATTATCAGTGTGTAAGGGATTTAAACACCTAAGCATTAAGTCTAAAGTAATTTGCTGACCTCTCTAAAAGTGGAATATGTTTAATTAATGATTTGTTGTTTTACGATGTACATGTGTATATAACATGTTTACTTGATATGTTATAGAAATTTTCAATTCAATTCAATTCTTTATTTCATACCAACGTTGCAGACATACAAAAATATGTGTTGCCTGAATGGCATTGGTATTTACAGCAATAACAGCAAGATAAGGTACATAACATATATTACACATATATACATACTATTAAAATATATACATTAAATCAACAGGGCATCCCAGATATGACACGTTTACACAGTCTGGTTGTACAGTCTGATAGACTGATGTAGGAACGAGTTCTGGAGTCTTTTTGTTCTGGCTGGGGGGATGGATATAGTGTTCTTGTTCCTACGAGAGCGTCCATGATCACTTGCATGATAAATAGTATGTCATGCTGGGCTGAGAACCTCTAAAGGCTGGCCAGACCTTTTCTCGCTCTCCATCCATATTTGAGAAATATTTAACTTTCAGTCCGCTAAGGTACCCTTAAGCACCAGATTTTTGTTGGTTATGGGGTTAGAACGCCGGTATAAGGTTAATAAAAACTATTGTAGGAAATCTAATGCCTTTACTGTTGGTAAATACTATTACTGAAGATTACATCTTGATATTAGTAATTAAAAAATCTGTAACCCGTAGTAGTGATTATATTTGTCGTATTGTGCAAGGCATATTTGCCGGGCTGGGTCAAATGAAATTGGATATACATTTTGTAAATATGCATAAGGATGGATCCAAGCTAGTACAAAGTACCAAGAAGAGAGATGTATGTTGATATATGGATAATTGTCAGCAAACATAGTATAGTTTGGGGATGTTTAAGAGATATCTTTAAAGATGATTATAATTCTTCTAACAATTCTTGAAACAGCTTAAGCGGCTAATTTACATAGTTTACATGGCTGTATATATTATGTCAATTGTGAGGCTTGGTTCTAGTCATGAAGAAGTTGTCACCACAACACCTGCACAGTTCCTTCTTTCGTTACCCAATTTGTTGTTTGTGATTAGATGACAAATGTGAAAAAAATAATTATTTAAACTTCGAGAGACTTTTGGTTCTTGGACTATAATTTTTAATGCGTTTATGCAAAATCATAGTGAAAATCACACCTTATCTGATAATTTCCAAATCTCAAAATTTAAAGAAAAGTATTAATGAACATGAAGTATCAGTAAAATGAACGATAGTGGAGTGGAAACAACATGCAAAATCAATATTCAGAGGGCCTAAATCCTTTACCCTGAACAATATATCAACTAGAGTTCCATTTCCCCGTACTTTTGCCAATTGATATTAACGTTTACATTGAGTTATAAATATTACCACTATGAAATTATAGCTTTCCGTTTGAATTATGCAAATTATATATATATGCTGATGCTCCTCTTGCTTTCAATTACATATGTCACAAATTTGAATAGTCTTGTCATTAAACGGATTCAAAGCAAATTCATAGAATTTCCTCATTGATTGTGCAAATTAGACCTGTATTTACATAATTACCATTAATTATGTAAAACATCACCCATCATACCTACACCACGTTCCTTGGGGTCTATAATGGGAATATGCTGAGGGTAATTAAAGAACTGGTTGACAGATCGCGGTGAATAAAGTTCTGTGGGCTTGTATCCAAGGATCTCCCATACCAAATTTCAGGTCATTTGGTTTATTTAATATTATTTTATATTAACAGGTCATTTAATATTAGAGCTTAGGTCTGGAAAAAGCCCCATTTTACACAATTTTCAAGTGGTGTACATGTATGTCAAAGGCACGGATGACATTTTTGGGACATCAGGTCATTCAGATTTGATATTAGGACACAGGATTTAAAAAAAAATAATTTTTTTTTGTCTGAAAATAGCAAAAAAAAGTGGTGTATGTTAAAAGCGTGAATGAAGTTCTGTAGACATATTGCCTTATTTCAAGGTATCCCCGTATCAAATTTCAGAAAATGGCCCCAAACCCAAATAAAACAAAGAAAGGGCTTGTTTTAAATGAAATTTTTTATAAATTTAAAAAGAATAAAAACCTCTGGGGTATTTGCCTACTCTGCCTCCATGCCGAATTTTAGGTCATTTGGCTGAAAATGGCAGAGTGGAATCCATTTGAAGAAATGGCAGGAGAAGGAACACGAAAGAAATATGTTTTACTACACAACTACGTGGTGAAGCTATAAAAATAAAGTTTCCAGTCATTGTACAAATGGTTTTCATTCAGTGGAAACAGCCACCATGACATACAAAAGAAATTAAATATATTATAACATGTACTACATCAAAGTGAAGGGATTATTTTTACAGGAATTTACCTGCAGGAAAAAAATCTTCCTTAAGTTATTACTACCACAGAAAATCCTAATTCTGCAGATTTCTACACAGAATCTGCAGAAAGAAAATTTTACCATGAATATTCATGAAAGTTATCATCATATTTCACAACTCTTCATACTTAAATATTATACTTTCAATCAGTTGTAAAGAATTATCATCAACTGCCTATGTATTGAACATTTTAGCATTTGTTAAAATGGACAAACTGGAATCCCAAACTGTGAACTAACTGTATAGTAGAAAAAGGCATCATCTGACAACAATGGTATATTTAAACGAAGACCTTATTTACATAATTACCCATTAAAGTTAAACATTAGCAAATTTATTAGGTCGCGGTACTGTGGTTTTAACCTCGGTTTAGTAAGAAAGTAGATGCACTCTACTGGGGTCTGAAAAGGATTCGAACCCAGAACCTTCAGATTCTAAGTCAACAATCAGACAGCTATGGCAGGGTAGTGTAGGGATTCGTCAGACAGGACTGAGTCCCGTATAGATTGTGCGGTTTTTTTACCTCCATGACTGTACATGACAGAAAAATATTATTGATGTTACAAAACACATCCATTGGCTTGGTCTTTCATCCCGTTTTGTTTCACAAACTCACTGTCAAGGGTATTGAATTACAGCTTTTGAGCATGAATAATCTAAAACCCATCGGTAATTTTGAAATCGCCTGACAAAAGTCGGACATCTCGTGCCATCTTCTCGGCGTCATTCAAGAATTCCTCGTGTTTGTCTTCTGGTATGTAGCAAAGATGGCGTAATAGAGCACTCATCGATTTCTTCCATTGCTCCTGACAGGTGAAAGAGTACTGCAGTTTTTTGAGATGACAGGAGAGGACTTCGAAACCGCACTCCTCCAGAAGGTGGCTACTATGTCGTTCCTTCACGATATCGCTGGAAGGCCATGGAAACAAATTCGGTTGAAAGTCCTTTAAGTAGTTTTTCCACTTGGGGTGGGAAGCCAAACCCGGGCTGATTTGGCAGATCTTGCTCACATCAGTACAGAACCACAATAAGATTTCTCCACGCGGTTTCAGGCAAGAATGCAGCACTTTAAGCGCTGCAGCCTTGTCTTGGACCCAGTGTAACACTTGGAGAGAAACTACCTTACTGAAGGTGCCTTGTAACTCTGGCTTTATGGTGGACGCATCAGAGATATCAGACACGTCATAGAGCACGTTTGGGGAGGAGTTGTGTTGACTGGCATACCTGTGAAACAGGAAACCCATATTTAGTAAAATATCGCATTTGATCTATAAGGTGTTACTGGAAATCCACAAACCCAATTTGGGGTACAAGAATTCCAAAGATTTTGAGATTCCCAGGGTATGAACAACACTGCAATTGTAATATTCTAGAAATATACATTTTTTTATAAAAAGACCGTGTATGTAAGAAAATACATTGTACCTAACAAAGTCAGGTGACACATCTAAGCCCCATACAGAAGCGACCCCTGGCTGTTGGGAGATGTACTTGCAGATTTCCCCAGTGCCACATCCGGCGTCCAAAACTGTGTCGCCCTCCTCCCACCTCATGTACTGCTGCAGCAGCTCAACTCCGAGGTCGTGCTGAAGGGAGCTGTTCTGAGAATAGAACTCAGGCTTCGTTGAGTCCATTTTCTGTATTCGTATAAAATATAGCACATGTAACACTTCAACTGTGAGTACGAAAACAAACGAAACAACATCAAGTATATTAGCTAGTAATAGAACAAGTAGAGTACCAAGAGCTAATACAAGAGTAGTATAACCTTTAAAACTGCACGCGTATTGTAAATGATCATCAATTATTTGAAAAAAATATCATCTTAGATATATCCGCCTACATACCAGGAGTTGTCCGATGACAAAGAATGCGATTTTACCATTCTATTTTATTCTATTTTAGGCGACCTTCTTCGCGAAGGTAATGTTGTATGAAAATGTTGTATTTATCTCCATTAGTTGTCAGCAAAACATTGCCACACAACAAAAAATGACCCGGAAAATGATGTTAAAGAAGTACTAAAGGCCAGAAGGGAGTGCTATATTTTCCAATAGATTATGATGCAATGAATACCCGAAGTTTTACAGAATTTCGCTTGTACGAATTGCGCGACGCATGTTTGTAAAGCAATATCAATATTTTCTTGTTACGTCGATGAAGGTTAGACATCCAGGTAATACGATACGCCAAAAAGCAGTTACTCAAGCAACTGGATATGATTTTGAATTTGAATTATGATTTTGACGTTTTCGTCATGACGTTTGACATTTGACGTTTTCAAAATCATATCCAGTTGCTTGAGTAACTGCTTTTTGGAATATTTTCTTGGATTTAAGAAAAGCTTTTGACACGGTAAACTATGACATTTTGCTGAGAAAACTCGATAAGTTGGGCTTCGACAGTGACACTAAAAATGCTTTACATCGTATCTTACAGACCGCTTCCAGTGCACACAGCTTCAAGGCCAATACTCCAAGAAAGCTCGGGTCACTTGCGGCGTACCCTAGGGAAGTATCTTGGGCCCACTATTGTTTTGTCTATATGTAAATGACCTTCCCAATGTTATTGTAAAGTGCACTATACACCTGTACGACACCATAATTTAAAGTATTGATGAAATTTTGAGGAAAATAACCTGTAAATACCTGTTCTAATAGTATATGGTCCGCCATCTTGGATTTTGGCCAATGACGTCATCAAATTAGCATAAATTATGCTTTTAATGACGAAATTTACAAAAAATTATATAGGATATTATTCATATTAGAAACCATGTGTAACTTAACATAAAACCCATAAAATTCTATTGTTGAAACGAAAATTACTAAATTTAGCAAAAAAAATGTTTGTCAGAAACCCGTTGCCATGGCAACACAAAAAATCATTATCTTAGTCCAATGATACAGAATTGTTGCCAAAAATGTTCTAGGAACAGTCACCAAGTTTGGCTATTCTAGCGCGAGCCGTTCAGACGCTATGTGACATCAAAGTTGGCGCGGGCACTTTTAGCCCCCCTCCCCCCGGTCTAGATACGGTTAATGAATTCGCTTGTCGTAATTTTTTTTCTAAAGTCGCTATGTACTACAAATTTACAATGCCAGCAGTTCCAGAACAAGCTGCTGTTCAATATTCTTGACCGCAAGGATGCAAGTGGTGGCTCTCGTCCTCTTCTGGAATTTCATGAACGAAAAGAGTGTCCTATGGCACACCCAGCCGTATGTGGCAGCCGCCTGAGCATGGCCTGATAAACCCCTGACCTTGACCGTTGAACTCCATGAAAGGGCATAGGAACGGACCATTGGATTCCTGGACTAGGGGCGAATAATATAAAAGCCAACACATTATTCGTCTTTTGTTACTCTGTACGCTTTTAATGTTAAAGCAGTTCGTTTACTTTTAAATACATACTTACTGACAAATCTTTAACTTCTTTTTTTGCTACGTAATTTTGGTTAAAAACGTCACAGCGACGTTGTCATATTTACATTGTTGAACGTCTCCCCTTGAACCCATAGTGAACTTTACCGGTTAGCAGGTCACTGACCGCAGCCATCCACGTCTTGATCTTATATTTTACGGACGGACGAAGGCTTAGAAAGGTGAATTCAACCATATTGTTGTTTTCTAAAAGCTTGTCTTCGTACAGTTTGAGATATTTTGTCACGTAACCTAGCTATATAATTAATCTATTGACATGCAGCATTTCGCTCAAGATTACAAAAGCCTGTACTGTATGTCCTCAATCTATTAGTACTCAGAGATAATTCAGGGACGAATTGTTTCTGTGTTTGTTACCAGTCGGTACGGATTGAGTGACGTGACTTGGGTTTCGCTGGTCCGGGACTAATAAGGTCGCGAACTAGATGTGCCCTGGGGGGGGGGGCGCACCCCAGTTTATTTGGCGTTTCTATTCGAAGCTGTACATCCTCAAATCTAGCGACCATCTCTGCCGTGGAATAATTCGGAAGGAGAATAACTGTATATGGGACGAAAGGATATCTCCTCAGCTACAAGACAAGCGGAGTTTGGTTTCTTCAACCTATTTAAGTTTGATAAAATCAACGGAAAACATTATTATAAAATCAACGGAAAACATTATTTTCCCTCCAAAAAATAATGCACAAAATTGGTCATTTTCGCGTAGGATAATCCCATAGACAAAAAATTTTCAGCAGAAATGGCTGATGCTGGCAGAATGACTCAAACCTTGACTATATCCGAGTAAATTATAAAGACAATTCTAGTACTGACATTTTTTAAACCGTCCACGGCGTGAGGGGTTGCAAATCCACTCCTAGGAAGGCGCAGAGCGAAATCTAGGTCAAACGGGCGGTATTTTATCGCTAATGATACAGATATATGTAGGATTTTATGCTATCCATTTGTAAGTTGTAAATACTCGACATATGGATAGCATAAAATCCTACATGTATCTGTATCATTAGCGATAAAATACCGCCCGTTTGACCTGTCATATGACATATTACATGTCAGTCGAAATTCAATAAAATCTGAATCTGAAATCCCGGAAGTATGAAATCTATGATTTCTTGTTCAGGACAATGCTAAGAGTCGGGAGGCTGATCAAAGACTCCCCTGTGCGATGGGCGGCCGCTTATAAGGTGACAAAGGGTGCGTTTGTCGGGACTACACGTCAACGTTTCAACGAGGAATTTTTGGGGAAGACCATCCCGATACCAACTCCTCGTCGAGAGGGGACAAATATCCGTGTACTCAGTATTGGGAGTGGATCAGGTGAGATACTTGGCAGTGTGGTTGTACATATTGTAACATAACGTGTATGTATTATATAGCTGTCAGATAACGAACTAACACACTAGTGCACTGGACGGCTTTCCCAGAATGGGAACCTCAGAAACATATAATTCGGGATTTTCTAGTCCACAACCAGGGAGTCTACCTACCTTGCTTACGTGTCGATGTCTACATGTATCGGACACCTTCTGACTAGAGTTCTGCTTCTTGCCGCTATATATAGCCGATGTAGGTGGCGCTTTTGCGGCGAGAACACAATATATATATATATATATATATATATCCCCCGTCTAGTCAGAAACTACAATGGAGTTGTCTAATAGACAAGTTAGGGAGAATTTCTGGTTGTGTCTATATTTTTTAGTAAGTGTAAATCCCAATATACGTCGATGAAGGTTAGACATCCGGGTAATACGATAAGCCAAAAAGCAGTTACTCAAGCAACTGGATATGATTTTGAAAACGTCAGACGTTTCAGCTAGTATCCACTAGCTTTCGTCAGTGACTGAGAGACCAGAGGTGAAATGCACAAACTATTGATTGATATGCAAATAAAGTAAAGACAATTGTTTTTGTAAATCTTAATATCCTATGTAAAATTTTGAAATCATGACGATACAACCTGATGGAATTATTTTCGGATATCATTATTTACAGGAGAAGCGGACAGCGTTATCTTGAGGAAGATCATGCAAAGTCAAACTAGCGTGTACAGCCGAGTCGTGGAACCCTCGGGAGAAATGCTGCAAGATTTTAAGGTATATCCCCATTTCGATATTTGTTGACTAGTTGAGTTTAGTTCCAAACCTATATCAGCTTTACAAACATCAGGAAATTGAATAGCTATAAATTTACCCAATCCAAGAGCAATTTTTTATGCTTTTGCTATTCATAAAGGACTAGTTAGGCCATGTTGATTTCATTATATGAATGACATCAGCGCGCGCATGAATTTTCGGCCGTTTAAAAAAAAAGTTTTCAACCATACTGTAAATCGTACAAAACAGATGCAAAATGAGCAAACACATACAGAAAAAATATATTTGAAAACAATATCAATATGTCGTAGAATGCCAAAATCAAACGAAAAAGACGAGAATGTAAAGAAATTAATTTGAAGAGTAGATTATTTTCCATACCATACTCTGTGTCATTTGTACAACCTTCATCACCAGGTACATTTCCTTATAAAAGCAACTTTTCTTTTTGCAAAACTTCAAAGCTCGCATCAGTTTTGGGGTTTCCAGAGAATGCCATCCATATAATCAAATGGCCCTAATGTTCTTCAGAAAATGAAACGGTAGAGGTTTAAAGCCGTTAACATCAGGGGTGCGTTTCTTGCTTGAAAATAAAGTCAAACATTATAATCCTCTAGGCCATGGTACAACAAGACACGAGCCTCGGTGCAGTGAAGTTTAACTGGCGCCAACAGACAGCGGAAGAATACTTTTCCGACTACGATGGTACGAAGTTCGATCTTGCCCATGCTGTGCGGGTTCTGTACCATGTAGAGGACCACCACGCCGCCTTGCGGAACATGTGGGAACAACTGGCCGATGGGGGCTACCTGTTTGTGTTGCTTCTATCGGGTATGCTGAGAAATCATGACGATACAATTTTAGATAAACAAGGTAGCATTTTTATGTTTACCAAAGGAAAACATGTTGTTTTTGCTCCATTTCTTCTTCTTCTGTTCCAAACACTAACCTCTGACCTGGCCAATGGCCTCTTTTGTTGACGTCTGTTACCATAGTAACTGGTGTTGGGTTACATAATGTTGCAATTTCATAATAGGCATTTATACTCTTGTCACCATAAACATGTATGTGAATGTGTTTGAGAAAGAATTAACAGAGCAGACCATATCCGAAGGTAAACATCATGCATTTGCTTTGCAAAAAAAAATGTCACTTTTCTAGTTCAAATTAATTTGATATTCTAGATCTAATGGGTGACAGTTTTGAGCGCAATCATAAACGCAAAACTGTTTCTAACAGTAAATTAGATATAGAAGTCCAAATACTACGTTCGTGTTAATAGGCCTAAATTCTTCTCCTAGCTCTGATTGGCGGATGTTTTTCCGCCAATGAGATATAGGAGGTTACCACGTAATCTTATCTTTCAAATAGCTCTGTTAGCATTTAATTTAATATTTTTTAATGTCTTGGGGGTGGTGGGACTACGGCGCACAGATATGTCAACTTTGTATATTCAAATGTTAATTGTACTTTTTTGTTGTGTGGCGCTGTTAATATAAGTTGTAAACTTGAGTGCAGCGTTACACTGTCCTTGTTATATTTTCATGTTTTGATGAATAGAAAATCATAAACACATACATATACATGCTTTTGCAGACAAAAGAGGCGTGGGGAAACTGCACCATGAAATGTGGAAGTGGTTCCCGCATGAAAACGATCGTCTGCAGACGTCACTTCGCACTTCTAGTGACGTCACTAGGTCGCTGGAATCCATGGGCATCAGTTACGTCATCGCAGAGGACGAGCATGACGTCAACCTCGCGGAGTGCTACAAGGAGGACTCGGAGACGGGAAGACTGCTTCTCGACTTCTTGACGCAAACGTCGAACGTCTACGAATATCCCAAGATGAGGTCGGCAGTCTTGGAGTACTGTCTGCGCAATTCGTCATTGGTGGATGATAAGATCGTTTTCAAAGTACGTACCGCGGCTATCATCGCCCGTAAAAATGAAAAGAACATGTAGAACATAAATTGTCTACATGCGAAAAAGCTGATCATTTGTATGACATGCATGTATAATATTATTGATGAGGATGGCGGTATCCACTTTGAAGTTTAAACGTCACCAACCCTACCTAGACCGGGCTTTTTTTGACATTGGGGAACGGGGGGGGGTCTTTTGACCCCCCCCTAAGAACACGCGAACGGTATGTCGTATGACCACCAAATTTTTAGAGAATGGTGTACTAGTGAAAATTTATTATATCTACAATTTTTATGTCGTCATGATGTAATATGACGTCATTATGACGTCATTAATGTGATTTTATTGGCCAAAACCGTCTAAATAGGTTTTTCCCTAACAACTAAATGGTATTCAACATAACTGTACCAAAAGTGTTTATGACAGAATATTATGGTGTACTAAGTCTTATGTTGCCCATAGCAACACCGGTGGCGTCATAAAATGACGTCATGCATATTTAAGATATCCGCCATCTTGGATCATCAATCTTGAATTTTCAAAAATAGTTTTTCTTCATGATAAAGCCTAAAATACATCGTGAACATACTAAAGACCTTCATTTAAACCTTTTTTGGAAAAAGAAATGGAAGTATTGATGAAATTTTAATGAAAATAACCTGTATATACCTGTTCTAATGATATGGTCTGCCATCTTGGATTTTGGCCAATGACGTCAACAAATTAGCATAAATTATGCATATTTAATGATAAAATTTACATAAAATTATATGGGATTTTATTAATATTAGAAACCATGAGTAACTTGACATAAACCCATAAAATGCTATTGTTGAAACAAAAAGTACTAAATTTAGCAAAAAATGCCTGTCAGAAACCCGTTGCCGTGGAACACAAAATATTATCTTATTCCAATGATAGAGAATTGTTGCCAACAATATTCTAGCCGTTCAGACGCTAGGTGACATCAAATTTGCCGCAGGCACTTTTAGCCCCCCCCCCCGGTCTAGGAAGGGTTAAATACTCTCCCATAAAGAGATTTCAAGATGAAAGTGGCTTTGTTACATTTGGACACCATGTAGTCACAATATAAACAACGTTATATACAAAATAAATGTATAACCATAGATTAGACATTTGACACGATTGTATAGAAAAACATTTTCATTGACAGATGATAAGATATTAAGGATCATGTGACATTCTTAGATTGATTCAGTATCAGAAATGTTATCTGCTATAAGAATATGTGAGTCTTATATTTTCTTTATATTTCATTAATGTACATGTGTTATACTATCTTTTATAGCTAAATGAAATATTCGGTGTATCAGAATTTATCCTTCTAAGACGGTGTATTTCTCCTTTATTAAACTGTTGCTACATTTTGTAATCTTTCAGTGTTACATGGCAGTATAACTAGATATAAGGTTGTTGATATGGATATGGAAATTAGTCCGGAAGTAAATTAGAATTAGTAGTCCAGAATTTAAACTGAAGGCTGTTAAATGTCTTCTTCTAACTTCATACAAGAGAACGTGTACACGTGTACTATTGTTTACGGAAAAGCTATTTTAAGTATATGTCCACACCGAATTAATTTTATGGATGACATCCTTTGAAGACCCCAAAGAGGTGCGCGCGGGCGAATAAAAAACTTCCGGCCCAAAATGAAATGCTACTAAACCACAGAAATACGAAATAGGTATTTTTAATTTGCTGTAGTACTTAGCAACGTATACGACAAGCCGGTACATGTTGGCTTTTTGGAGTTCTTGAGTCGTGGAGCTTCGGTAGCCTGCGTGCCTTGCTCCGTTTTGTCGCTAGCTACCATAGACTACCCAGGCCTAGAGCCAGGCCAGAGCCTCGGCGGACGTGATCTTTTTTACCTCCATGAAAAATGGAGGTATTGTTTTTGGTGTGTGTGTGTGTGTGTGTGTGTGTGTGTGTGTGTGTGTGTGTGCGTGTGTCTGTGTGTTTGTGTTTCCGCACATTTGTAGCTAGCATAACTTTTGAACCTTTGGATGGATTGAAATGATATTTGATACGTGGGTAGGTGTTGGGTAGGCAAAGATCAAGGTCAATTTTGGGCCTCCTGGTGGCTGATCTTGGTACTGCAGCACAACTTCTGTCTTTTGTCCTGAAAATGCTAAATATGGTCTTGATTTTTGAGTGGTAGATAGCTTTTCTTGCCAGTAATAAGTGGTGTGGGTTTGGTCCCCCTTGTTCTGGAAATGCAGGGTGTTTCTGGCTAAACCTTTTAGAGCCGATAAATTCACAAAGGAACAATGTATTTTCTTGAATTTTGGTATGTGGGTAGCTTAGTCAGAGATCTACATTATTGGAGGCACATTATGCAAATGATGACCTCATTTGCATAATTAATGAGGAAATTGTGTAATTCCAGTGTCATGGGACTTTGATACATGTGATGTTTATAATTAGTGGTAAATGATGGAAATTTCATATTTGGAACATGTGTGAGTTAATCAAAAGTTTACATCATGGTGCATTTACTATGTTTATGTAGAGGTCATTTGCATAATTGAAAAACAAATTTGTCAAGCCCATATTTCATGGAGGTATGAGATCTCGGAACTCTTTTTTTATTAAGTTCTTACTTATAACGAAGATGTAACTGGTGTTTAACCACACGAAGTTCCCTTTTTTACTACACTAGGGCCATTGTATATCCTTAAACAGATGTTGTTAGTCAAATCGGTTCACTTTTTGTCAACGAAGTAAAATGTCAGCGGTTCCGCGAAAGAAATGTTGTTAACTGTCTTCTTTCGAGGCCTTATTGAACCCTTTGCTCAATAAGGCGTTAGGATTGTGGTCATGTTTTGGTAGGATTTGCTTTGCGAAATGTGAGTCATAGAGCCTAATCCCACACCACGATTGTAGGACACACATGGATCAATGATGCAAGAAGACACGATGATAAAGGCGACCCTACAGAAATCGGACTCTCCATTCCTGACAACTTTCGAATTCTTCGACGATAACCTCACTGCTTCACTGAAATGGCTGGATTCATTTGCAAACATCAGTCTGAACTCCACGACCCTGTCAGTAACCGTCATGTCTCTGCCAACCAAAGGTAGGAAATGTTTGTATGAGGTCAGGCAGGGTTGACTATCATCTATATTTCACCTGTCCTGTTTGGAAATAAAAGCCAATGAGGAAAGGGCATACCATGTACCAGCAGGTGTGAGACCACACCACTATCTCGTCATTCTGTAGAAGGCTTTCTGATGAAAGCCGAATTATACAAAAAAGCTGCATGTCTCTCTTGCAGTCTCTCTTGAAAATTGTTTCCGATTTTGTAATTATAAGGTCATTGTCTAATTGGCTATTAGTCTATTTAAAAATAGGTTATTGTTGCATCGTTTTCTTGTTATTGTGTGGTACCAAAGTGTAACTCATGTAAATTGTCAATATAAGCGCAATCTCACAACGCTATAAGAATGCGGGTGCAATATGGCAATTTTATGTGGTTCAACAAAGAAAAAAGTAGGATTGTATGTTCATATAGACAACAATACAAAAAGGAAACAACACTTCATTGTGCATGGTTGTCTATTTATTGCCTTTGCTACGCAAAGCGATACATATTGAAAAGCAGAAAAATATGTATATTCAGAAAATTCCCAATAATGCCAAAGTTATACATCATATAAATACCAAGCAGCCAAGCACTGATATTACGGTCCAGTATGGTTACATTTGCTTAGTTTCGGTTATCATTTCACTCTTCTGTAGAGTAATTTAACATTTCACTCATTCTTGACCATTGTCACAATCAGCAGCAATTTTACATTGTAATAGTTGATAACATTTATCTTTTCTTGATACAATCGCGATATGTTTAAATACAATTTCATTTTTAAAATGGTCGTGTACATCATTGATGTAAATTTGGAGAAATTTGAATAAAGTGACTCTAATACGGACGTACCCATGAATAGAAAATTTCCATAATCTGAACAATTTCATTGGCTTCTTTGGGCAGTGATTGTATATATTTATCCCCTACACGTCATGTATCGTAGAAAAAAATTATTCAGAAAAATTGATACGTCAGCGGTGCGATTCAACATGGCCCTTCCTTGTAAACCTTTTCAAAAATCTATTACCATGGTATCTCATCGAATTGCTTTTAAACAGGTAAATGATTTGTTTTATATTATATTATAAATAAATGATACTTTTAAAAATGTGTAATGGAATCTGCAATGAGAGTGTCTGAGAGAGTCTCCCAGTTTGAATAAACCATTCATTCATTCATTCATTCATCAAATACAGAACATAGCATTTTTATGAATCCAAAACAAACTAATATACGAATACACTTTGCCTTAAAAGTTTCTAGATTTTTTTTTTTCCAACATGTAATCACCAGACGCGGTGACGGCACACTCAAGTTTTTTTTTTTTTCAACTTATATTAATGCCGCCACCAACACAGGGGACAAATACATTTCAGGACAATACTCATTTACACCTGAGCTAAGTGAGGAAAGCCGTGTAAAGTGCCTTTCCCAAGGGCACAAGATCGGTGGCATGTCAGGACTCGAACCCGGGACTCTAAGTTCCGAGTCGCGTACACTGCCGCTACGCCACACGACCCCACAGTTTCTAGATTGCATACTACATCTTATGCATTCTACATCTTATGCAAATCTAACACAATTTAAAAGTAAAGTAAGATAAGTACTACTTGATACAATTCTTCTCAATAGCTTGATACAGCCATTCCTTCCTCCCAATGATATGCAATCAGAACTTGATAATGTAATGATTGTTGACACAATGTCATTAACATTTACTTGCTTGCTATATAGAACAACCATAGCAGTGAAAGCTATTTTCAGATGACATAGGATGAGTGTGTAACCTGGTTTAGTGTGCATAGAAAACTACTTCCAACTAGTAGGTTACTTTCCAACCGTTAAAACATTTTTCCATGCAAATCATAGTATGATATGCGAACAGCACAATGGAACATAGTTTTATTTTTTGATACTTAAATCATTATTAATGCTTTCTGTGCCGTGTGCTAGGTGGCACACATATGTTACCTTTGCTTTCTGTTGCTGAATATGTAAAAGTGATTTTAAATTGTATGTTGTTTCTTATGATTGTTCTAGTTTACCAGGAAAACGTGTTTCCTTACTAAAAATGAGAGGAAAAAAAGAACATGAGTCATGATTGTCAGAAAAAATACAAGCAGTTTGCCCAAATAAGTGACTTAATAATAATTTGTTAATATCATATAGCCAGGCCATCACTTGACTAAGGCAAAAATCCCCAAGACGAGAAAAAAGGCAGCAAATCTCATTATTCTTTTTTTTACAACAACATGAAAAGCGGCCTTTAGGTCTGTATGAATAATAAAGAATGGTTCAAACAAACAAATCCAGCCACATGGTGTAGCTTAGGTTGTCATGCCTCTGGTTTGTCCCACCAAGAAGCTGGATACTAGTATCATAATGATTGTATCTTGTATATTTTTGTATATCAATTATTACTTTTTTCATACTGTAACAAACTAATACATAATGTGTCCTCCTGCCCCTGTATGTTCAAAAAATTGAGAATAAGTTAAATTATTGAAAGGGTTAATGAAGAAAAAAGATATGCATTTAATGATCAGCCAATAATGTTGTTTTGAATTGGCTACAGAATAATAACTTTCATGGTACGAAATGACTATATCATAAAATAATGTTACTGATCCGCTCTTTTCTCGTTGTTTACGGTGACATAGCGCCTCGCTCACTCGGTGGTTTGTTCGGTGGCTATACTTCCATAGGTCGCTGACCAGATGTTATGTCACAATAAACAACCTGAGGGTCATTAACCCTTCATTGTTACACGCGTGTGCTGCAGCTTCTACGACTAACAATGTGGCTTCCGCTTTCTTCACTTGTCCCGTCCACCCGCCTTGTTTGTAGAGACAAGATCTCGCAGGAAAAGAATGGAGCATTGTCATTTGGGACGCTTGCAGATGAACGGAAAGGTACGGTAGCACTGGTCGTCATTCCACTGTCCCTTGTGCACAGGTGTGTGAATGCCCCTGCCAGTCTGTCGAAGAAAGAAAATTTCACTTCCAGGTTTCTGCAGTTAACCACTCTAGTCCTTCTTCTTCCATGTTGACAATTATCATGGGGTATGATGTTATAGGCGCCGACCAAAACACGCGTACGTCTACTCTATCTTTATCTCTGATTTGAAATCCTCTACACGACCACTAGTTGACCACTGGGGAGTTGCATGGCAGTAGTCACAATAGAGCATAGTGCCACTATAGTACTAAGATAGCAATCTCATCAATGAGGAGCACACACCTTTGAGTAAATGCCGACGCAGTCCTGTCCCTCGTATCCTGAGAAGAGATGGCGTTTGTCGTTGGGCTGACCCGGCTCCCAGTTTGCGTAGGAAACCTTGGACCCATCCGTAAACTTCTCGAATCCGCCATTGCGATGCAGTCCAAACCAGACGAAATGAACACCCCACTTTCCTACAGGAGCTGTATAATTGAATGAATGAATGAATGAATGAATGAATGAATGAATGAATGAATGAATGAATGAATGAATGAATGAATGAATGAATGAATGAATGAATGAATGAATGAATGAATTTTCGTGTCTTGCGACCCTTCTTTGTCGAAGACAAAATGAATACTCCACTCTCCTACAGGAGCTGTAATTGAAACAAATTGTAATTTACTAGTATGCGCCGGGTTAGCCAGTTAGACATGTTATGCTACCTGAGCATGTAATAGGGTTCAAGGTGAGAATGCACTTATTCTTTTTCACTTTCCACTTTACTTTGACCTGTCCTAGCTGTAGAAAATCAGCAAACAAAGACGGTGGGCGCTATACACTCCCTAGTAGAGAATTGATGACGTCACGTGTACGAAAGGTCACGCGTGACCGACGCAGTTGGGCACCTGAATTTTAAGAACTTACTGCAGAAGGACAGTCGTCTTTTGTGTTGTTTGTGAGATATACCTTGAAACATTTTGGTCTGATTAAGAGCCTTGTTGTATTACCCACCGTCAGTGATGATAGTGTTGATGAAGTTGGCCTCGCCATAGCTTGTGATAGACGCCAGATTTGCACCGAGTTGTTCACACTGTTTCTTTGCTTCTTCCCATTTGGCTGCGCGTTTCACCAACTTGTAGCAGTGGTTCTTATATCCACTCCACCCCATAGGACATGGTTTGGCTGTAACATAAACGATTTCACTTGGCGTGTGCAGGCCCGGAAACGTCCGAATATTTCGATTTTCGTGCTGTGTACGTCAACACTTTGCCCAAGTCAATAATTATTTGGCTTTTCCATTCGAAGCTGTACATCCTGAAGATTCGATTGTTATATATAGACTGGTTTATTTGCAGAAACACATACTTCATACATACATAGTACAGTAGGTTAGAAGCTTTTTGCAGCCAAAGGCTGAATTGAGAAGCTTTTACAAATTTTAAAAAATTACATGACTAATACATAATATATATACATAAAAAGTGCCTTGAGAGGCATTAAACACCACTTATACGCTAGAATAATACACATTTATGCTAAAATTACATCATACAACTTGGCAAATTACTTAGGTACAACTGACAATAATAAAAAGTACAATTACATCATGTGCAACAACATAAAATGAAATCTACTGTATGGCAAGGTTATTCAGTATGTTCAGCATTGTGGGGACAGGACTGCATAAATATCTTTTTGTCCCAATGGGTGGTTTGTAGCGCCGTGTTTGCCTTAGCTGCATGTTGTGTGAGTGGTTACTAACTGGGGGTAGCCAGGGGGCGTGCCTAGACCTAGTGGCTGAAAGGGCAAAGGCCCGGCACAGGGTCAGTCTCCGTTCAGACAAACGTTGGAGGTCAAGAGTTGACAGGGCCTCGGAATACGAGTGATAGCTTCTACCCAGCATGATTCTGCATGCCCTTTTCTGGATTCTTTCTATGCTGTCAGATTGTTTTTTGTGATACCCGCATTCCAACAGGGCGTGGCATATTCAACTATTGGTCGAATATACCCACAATACACTGTGACAAGGTCAGAGCTTGGGAGGCCAGCTCGACGCAGCCTACTTAATAAGTATAACCTTCTACTGCCCTTGGACACCATGGCGTCAACTTGATCAGACCACCGTAGGTCAGAGCGTATGTGCAAACCAAGTAACTTTGCTTGTGTAACTATGCTAAGTGGCTGACCTCCGAGAGTCAGTGGCTGCATTACTGGGGGGGTTCTCATGAAGCAGAAATACATTGCTTTACATTTTTAGGGTTAAGTAACATGGAGTTCGTTTCGGCC